ACAGACTATATGTGTACACTTGAATGGCTCTCTATGCAGTATTGATTTATCGACTGAATTGTATTGAACGCGCTCGTGAACATGGTAAGAAAGAAGATTATACCATGCGGTTCACGAAAGCTAATTTTGTAGCTAGGCATGGGACTTGGGGAAACAGGAAATTGTCAGAGAAAGAGAGAGAGAGAGAGAGAGAGAGAGAGAGAGAGAGAGAGAGAGAGAGAGAGAGAGAGAGAATTATTCATCATTGTAATAAGTTATAATATAAATGTATTGATAATAAATACTGCGAAAATCAAGAAAGACGAAGTGGAAACAGAAGAAGGGAAGTAACTCAAAGTTCATCATAATAGTCTTTGCCTCAATAGTGGAATGAAATTGTTGGACTGTCTCATCATCTCATTGATAGTTGTGTATATAATATTTCATTTTACACTTAGTTGGCCTGTCAGGCCCCGAGTGGAACTCAGTAGAGGACTAGTAAGGAGACTTGTGTAGTACAAACACTCAGAAAGACCTGAAATAATCTTATAATGCTTCAACACGGTGAGTGGATTGCTGTTGTCTGTTGTCAGCTGGGAAGGTGATGAATTATCACGAACATCAATCATTTAAGATTCATTACGCATGATTCTAGTCTAGATATATAGATCTAGATCTAGATCTAGATTTTAGATCTCTAGATTCTAGATCCAACACAGAACGAAACCGGAACTAGATGTAGATCTAGATCTACTTAAATGTTGAGCCTCGCTGTGCAATGCGCCTATACTCTACACTAACTAGATATCTATACTAGATATCTAGTCTATTAATGTTCCTGCTGGTCCACTTTTCTTTTCTCTGTTCTCATAATTTATTATTGTTTTGGATTTAGATCTAGATCTAGCCTAGACATATGTGTGTAAGTTTTTAAAAATTGTTATTGTTGCCAGGGGGGTCGGCCTAAAGTCCCCCACTGTTGTTATCAGTGCACATTAATAATTTGTTTTCATTTGTGCATGCAGAGAATTTTGAGACAATTGTGAAGAAACGGGATACACTGTCACGCTATCTGCAAGATACTTCCAGTGTTTCCACACCAAACTGAATTACATCAGAGATTATTAACTGCTTATCTGTTGTTACTGTGTTACTCTGAAAATGTTCGATTGCATACATAATTATAAAAGAAACTCTTGATGCTATTTTTTCAGACTTGACAGTATTCAATGAGTAATTCTGGTTCTTAAAGTCAAGTAATGTGGTAGTCAAGAAACTTTTGCAAGACCTATACATTTCCATTTCGAAATATAAATGAAATGAAAATATTTTGTCAATTTAGACGCAATTTTCTTTTTCTCTGAGAGTATTTCTAATTTTCTTTTGTTGTTGCAATTTTTTAGTAGCTTGCATAGTCTTTTTGTAGTTAACTATTCACCGCAAACTGTCTGTCTCTAATGATTGTTGGGCTAAAGATAGCTCAAGCTCAAGTGGATTAAACAGTTTAGAAGCATCTAAGTCTTAACTCACTGCCTTCATGATGTCTAAAATTTCTTCCTAAAACTAAAACTGTAATAATCTGATACAATGAAAATCACATGCAAACTTGATTTCGTTGTAATGGCACCGTTTTGATCTTGCCATGTGGAAAAAAGGGGGAAAGGTTCGACCAAAAAATCAATGGTACCAAGTGTTGGGAGTCCCCACAATTTTATAGTTTTCTCGTGATTATTACAAATGCATTGCTGTTCAAGTAGGCTAAAAACTTTTATTCATGATGGTTATAATATGAGTTCTTTCTTAATTTCTACAGTTTTGCACAAACACCTTTCCCTGAGAAGACATGTTTGTACAGAGGGTCACATGGCTGTCTTCAACTTTCACGAGACGGGACATCTAGAATGGTCAGCTGTGAGCTCTGAGTGAGCTTGGGGAGAGACAGACAGACAGACAGAGAAAGAGAGAGAGAGAGAGTCAGTCATGAGCCAGATAATGGAAAGGACCCTGGCCTCTCTCCCCAAACTGCTCTCTCAAGGGTTGTCGGGGGGAAAATCGTCCAAGTCCTCCGGTCCGTCCCCACTCTCCCTGGACGTCCAGAACTTTATGAAACATGTGCACAGAGCCAGGTCAAAGACACAGGAAAGTAACATCATTGCTTCTGAAATGGCGACTGTTCAACAAAAACTCAAGCAATCGGAATATTCGGCGTCACCAGCATTCATGCGGTCTGTATTCTCCAAAGCGATATTTTGCCATTTACTTGGCTATGATGTTAGCTTCGTGACCATCTCTGCCATCAACTTGGCACAACAAGGTCAAGGTTATGACAAACAGCTGGGTTATCTGGTCTCCAGTCTGCTGTTGAATCCGAGCCACCACATGGCAATGCTGATGATGGCCACCCTTCTCCGAGACTTGAAGAGCTCCAACATGGCCGACAATATGGTCGCACTGGTCATGGCGGCTCATTTAGTGGACGTAGAAAACGTCCCCACTCTGTTACCCGCGGTCACGAAGAAACTGAGTCACCCCCATGACCTTGTGCGAGAGAAGGCCGTCCACTGCCTGCGGGCATTCTACCAGCGGTCGCCCGATGTCGTACAGTCCTCCCTCGGTCAGCTCAACAGTCTGTTGTCCTCGAGGGACCCGGGCGTCCTCAGCGCCGTAGTCAACACTTACCTACTGATGTGTGAGAAAAACCCGTCCAAGTTGGTGGGTCTGGGCCGCAGCTTCCTGCACATCCTGCACCAGGTGAACAGCCGTGGGTTCGGCGCCAGCTACTACCACCACATGGTGCCTCTGCCGTGGCTGCAGGTCAGCCTGCTCAAAGTCCTCAGCCTTCTGGGTAGCTGCGACGCTCAGGTCAGCACGGCAGTCATCCCTCACCTTGAGGGGTTGATGGAGAAGACAAAGGTGTCAGAACCCGCGTCTCTCGCCGTTCTGGTGGAGAGTGTGGTGACCGCTACACGTCTGACGGGGGCCGACAGTTTGATGCCTCTGTGTTCCCGCTGTGTGGGGAAGTTACTGGAACCACAAGCCGGGCCCGACATGAGATACCAAGGCCTGGGTCTGCTGGCCGCTCTTGTACGTGTCAAACCGTCCCTGGCTACTCAGCACCAGGCGGCCGTTGTGGCAAGTCTACAGGACCCTGATCCCGCTGTGCAGCAGAGGACAGCACAGATTTTACATGCCATGGCCAACAGGGCCAATGTCAAGGCTATTTGTTCCAAACTGTTCCAGCAAATCGACGAGACGGAGGACAAAGTGTTTATCAGCGACATGTTCAAGATGATCGCGGACCTTACGGAGAGGTTCTCGGCAGACATGGACTGGTACGTGAGGACGGTCTTCTACCTCCTGCAACACCCGGACAACGTGTACCTGGGCGAAGATTTGATCCAGGCCGTGGTGTCGCGAGTTGAGCAGTTCTGTCTGGGCTCGCACTCACTGGACGGGCAAGGAACTCAGGCCTTTCTCTCCGTTCTGTTCGACGTACTGGACAACAGCGAGTCTAGCCAGAAGGTCGTCGTTCTAGCCCTGCATTTGTTGGGAATTTTTGCGCCGAGGTGCGGGGGAGAATTTCCCAGCGAAAGACTTTTGGACGCAGTAGACAGGATTTTGTTTCCTGATCCTGGACTGTGTGCACAACCCCTGGTCATCATCCCCAGTCCTGTGCCACAAGATGAGGCGGCTGAGAGCGTGGTGGACTCGGAGCTAGAGGCCGTATGCTGTGCGTGTGTTGAGGGTTTGTGTCGTCTGGTTCTCATGGGCTGTGTGTCTAGCGATGTCGTCAAGTCGTGGCTACATCGTCATGACGACCGGGAGCCTCGCGGTGGGAATGCCTCGCGGTGTCGTCTGCTGGAACTGTGTGAGCTGATCGCATTACCACTGGGACACCTACCAGCCACTCCTGAGCTGGGCTCACACTGGGACGTGGACAGCATGGACTTCTCCCTCAGCTTCCTGGACGGCCTTGTGGTCCAGGATATTCTTGCCGGAGCGTCCGTGTTCAAACCTCGTGTGGACCCGAGCCCCAACTCGCTGCTCGCTGGTGATGTCATCGTCGCGGGGAATGAGATGGAAAGCAGCGTGAGTGTGGCTAGCGAGCAGGCCGTCTACACCAGCACCGAGTCCGCCCTACTAGACAGCTGGCACGAGTCCACTGCTTATCCCCCGGTGAGGGGAAAGTGGCGGGAAGATGCCGATGATGATGATGATGACTTTGAGGACCATGAGGAAGTAGAAGCTGACATGGAGGATGCGAGCAACAAAGGGGCCCAGAGGACAAAGTCAGATTTAACCCTTGACCTTTTCGCTGGTCTTTCATTGGACCCGGTCTCAGTAACCAAGAGGACCCATTCTGATGGATGGGCAAATTCGAGACGAGGAAAAAATATTTGGGATGATGATGAGGATGAGGAAAGTGACAGCGTGAAGATGAGAGTCGCAGGATTCGACCTGCACCCATTTGGTATTCCCAGTAAAAAGAGTAAACTTTTATCTTGTGATGACACCTCCATGATCTCTTCTGACGAATTTGACATGATGTCACCACAAACTATTTCCACCAACCAAATGGGGTCACAAAAGTTCCCACCAGTGTCCAATAAATGGTCAGAATCTTCACTGTATTCAAACACCCTCAAAAACGTTTCTCTATCGGGCCTCAACAACAACCTTTACGATATGGAGGAAGGGAGCCATCATATAGCAGCTCACGGTGACGAGAGCATCTACGCCGACAGTGTGGCGGCCACCATCAACTCTGCCTCCACTGTCGATGATCTGACTGACAGCGAACCCGAGGCCTCCTAGGTGGGGACATGGTCAACTTTGACCCTCCCACTCGGAACTGACTTGACCTAGTTATATTTTTAGATACTACAACTATAACCATTCTTACTTTACTTTACTTTACTTTTTCATCCTCTGTTGCTGTTAAGCGTCGAGGGGAGATGCAGTTTTCTATGGTAGGCCAGCTCCACAGCTCTTTCAGTTGTAACCATTCTTACTAGCATAGAGTAAAACCAAGCTGTACTGTGAATCAACGTGAAAACAACCAACTTGTGTCCTACGCACTCATCTGACAATATACAGTTGCTTGTGTTGTAAAACTTATGAGACTGAAACTGACCTAGTTAATATAATGTAATGTAAGTATGCAGAGCCAAGGTTTTTGGGGTCGGGGATTGGCAATGGGGTTGATGGCTCTGCGTTACTACTCTGGAACAGGCTGGCTGTGACTGTTGATGAGCACAAAGACACGAGTGTCGTTCCTTGCTTTTACTGCTGTTTGAAAGAGGGTGAAAGTAGAATGAGACATTGGTGAAAATTTTTAGATGTGGTGGTTTTGATTGAAGGCAGTAGAATTAGAATGAGGTGTTGGTTTATTTGCTTTGTGATAAATGGTCAAAATCACATTGAAAATGCTGCAACGGTTGTTTCTTCTGCTGTTGTTTTTCTCGACTTTTTGCTAATGTGCAGGCTCATGAACTTAATATCCTCGCCTCTAAAGAATCTAAATTGCGCTAATGGCCAATATGAGCATAAAACATGTGCAATGTTACCTTAGTCCTGACTGGCAACAGGAACTGAGAAGCAATGGCTTCCTTTCATGACTTTGGTGTCCGTGTCTGGTCCCACATTTTGTTCTCTTTCTGTTCAGCTCTTTACTCCATGAATAGCTGGACTTTGAACCTTGCTGAACAAATGTACATTTTTGTATTTCATAGATATTTATAATATAACCCGGGATTTGCAATTTTGTTAGAGTGCTAGATACATATATTCAATTCAATGTTTGGAAGTTAATGTGATATTTCAGCTTGAAGTTCATGTAATGTGGTCCCTATGTATAGTGTATTACTGTGCGCAAATAATCAACGTTTTTCAGAGTGCGATGTCTGTACGCTCTATTGCCTTGTCATTCATCGTTGTCACAGAGAAGATAAATGGCAGATCGAGCCTCCAGCCAAAACAAAGCTGTGGCCTTTGGGAAAAAATTAGCTGTACCGGTATTGTTGGAACATTGAAGAACCAGTGCAACTTATATATATATGAATGCTTTCATTTCTGTGCATTGTAGGCAAGTGTAAATGTAGGGGGTTAACAACACCCCTATTAACATTGGTTATTTGAGAGGCGGAACCTATGAATTTTACCTCCGTCTCTACTAGGACCAAGAGAAATGGGACTAGCTAGAGCTTTGAAAACTCCACAGAACAGCCCAAGTTCAAGTAGGTGTTGCAAGCCCCTGCCTGCGGGAGCCAGAAAACTGCCTTATTGACGGCAAGGTCTTCAATCAAAAAGCCCTGCTTTTCTTGTCCTAGTTCAAGAAGCCCTGACTGGGATTCAAACCAGGGCCATATATACTCTGTAGTCCAGCATGATAGACAACCAACTGAGCCCCCACGTATTTTGCCAATGGTCTGAAGTGCTGGCAAAATGCTGTAGGATGTCCCGGTGTCCCAGTTTTTCTCTCTCAAATATAAAGAGACAAGTCCATGCCCACCCTGCCTTCGTGGAAGGTTATAGTTAGAGAGAGAGGGCGCCACTAGCAGTAGTAGCTCTTACTTCTGGTCTATCCTATGGCTACTTGAGAGAGGCATTGCGCTGCCAAGAGCGAAATGCTCGCAGCTAAAGGGATTTGAAAACAACAACATCCTATGGCTTTGATTGTATTGATTTGCTTCTATACATAATTTAACTCAAAACTGAAACGGATAAAACTCCTGCACTTTGTTGAGGCTAACATCTGTTCCTGACGTGAGAAGTCTGGATCATAGGGAAAGGCCTACGACCACAAGCACAGGCCCAGTTCTTGCATTCAGTCATGTGTGTTTTATGGAAATTCTAACAATTCTGCCTGTGTTATGGTGTTATGATGGATTTTAATGTTTTACTTAATGAAAGGTATGGTAAGCTGAGCTTTAAGTATGCCGTTGTGAATTTTCATTTATATTTAAAATGTTAAAGCATTATTTCTAATTTGCCATTCAGAAGTTGAAATGTTTTCTCTTGTGTAATTTGTGATAAATGTGTGACGTTTTTGGTGTAGCCTCTGAATCTGAATGTGAAGTGAAAAAATTCCCTCAAATAGATCTAGCTGTTTGTTTGTTTGTTTTCTATAGGTACTTAACAAAAGTACAGTATTGGGTTTTCCTGCCATGTCCACGGGTGGCTGGAGGGTGCCACTGGAAGGTCCTCCTCCTAGTCCTAGTTTTGTTCTTTCCCTCTGTTGTTTCCGTCTGCCTGTCTGTCCCACTTTTTCCTTGTGCAACAGACCGTTATTGTTGATGTGCTTCTCTCTACACAAACAAACAAACAGACTGACGGACTGAAACCAAAATTAGATTTATAAGAAACTTCCCACTGTTGGTAACTGTTACTGACACTGACAGCCATTTTTGCACAAAATGTGTCCTCCTGTTCACTGCTAAGTGTTCAGGGGAAAAAATGAATTGCAAAAAAAAAAACCTTAAAAAACAAACACACATCATATTTATATTTTTATGGTTGATTTTATTGTTTATGAGCATAAAACATGACAAAGAAAACAGAAACATGATGGAGTAATGGAAATGGAAACAGTATTTTATTTGAAGAAAAAAAAAATATTTAGGCCTATATTTTTAAATATATATGGCTGCTACCCTCACCTTCAGAGACAGAACCATTACCGATAAAAGGAGCTTGAAAAAGAGAAAAGAAAAGATACAGAAACAATCAAAGGTTACAGACAACACTACATGTTTGACCCCCCCACCCCCCCTAAATATCTTTTTCCATATCTGGTAGGCGAAAATCAGGTCTTCTCTCTATAATTATAATACAGTGGAACTCGGTTTCAACGAGCTTGGATTCAACGAGAGGAGATGGATTCCCCATTTTTTTTCTTCTTTAAAATCCATAAAAATAACCCGGATTCAACAAGCACTTAAATGTGTGAGCTCGGATTCAACGGGGCTTTTTGGCCAACAATCGAGATGACACAGGCGTGCATTTGAACGAATCGGTCTTTTTTTGCGCTGCTCATAATATGCAGGCATTTCAGGTACTACTTGTTACTTCTCTTTATACATTACTTGCTCAGTGCCTGTAATTATCTACACAAAACCTCTTGTTTGCTATAATATAACGAACACTTGGATTCAACGAGATTTTAGGTCAGACCCGGCGACCTCGTTGAATCCGAGTTCCACTGTACTCCCAAAGTCATGATGAGTCCTCTCAACTGGGTAAACATCCCTCACTCTGGTACCGTCACTGCCACACTGTCGTGTTACATTTAGTGAGCTACATACATGAACTACAACCAAGTGCTGTGACATTACCTACGTCATACCATTATAACATCACAATTGTTTAAGTCATTTTGTGGCCAACTTTTAATTTTATTATATATATACGGTAATGAAAAAATACCTGTTTCTTGTTGAGTATTCTCAGTATAGCGTGGTTATGTTTTATGTGCTAAAAACTGAAATATTGAGACAGTTGTCACATTTGCTCAACTCGTTTCATAAGGTTTACTTTCGTAAACTTTTAGATGGGTGGTTGGAGGATGCCACTGGACTGATAGGGCCTACTTCTTTTTTTTCCCTTTTTTTCTATATATATATATATATATATATACTTTGCTTCTTCCTGCACTAAATGACTGTTATTGTGTCTATGAGCTTCTCTTTACTCAAACTTTAAACACTGCTTTTTTAAAAAATGTTTTCGCAAAACAACAAGGAATGACTTAAGCAATTGTGTTATGACCGAGACAGTGTATTGTGCCATGGATGACTGCTGTGGCAATGTACTTTTTTTTCTCACATTACTTACTGCCTCTTACTCTTATTGTCGGCCAGGTGTCAGATGGAACTGTCAGTGTCAGTGTTACGGCAAGACTGGCTATAGGTTATTCATAGCAGCATTCACATACATACCCCCCCCCCCTCCCACCAATGTAAATGCTTTCAAGTTGTGTGTATGGTGAGATTAGTAATGTGTATGGTTTCTTAACCCCCCCCCCCCCCCTAGAGACATAGACCTGTCTACTCCCTTTACGGTACCATACTGTGAGAAGTCTTCATATCTTTACTTTGGAAGTCAACGGTAAAAGTTTATTGTCGCATGTTAGTTGTTAGCCTGCAGGTCAAAAGAAAGACAGTGACAGTGTTTGCCTGCAGGTCAAAAGAAAGACAGTGACAGTGTTTGCCTGCAGGTCAAAAGAAAGACAGTGACAGTGTTTGCCTGCAGGTCAAAAGAAAGACAGTGACAGTGTTTGCCTGCAGGTCAAAAGAAAGACAGTGACAGTGTTTGCCTGCAGGTCAAAAGAAAGACAGTGACAGTGTTTGCCTGCAGGTCAAAAGAAAGACAGTGACAGTGTTAACCTGCAGGTCAAAAGAAAAACAGTGACAGGATATAACCTTACTTCTTTTTCCCCTGCCTTTAGATTACGTACACGTAATTATTTTGGTGTGTGAAAAACTGAAATCATATTATTAAACATTTGCTATAAATTCATGAATTGTTTTTTCTTTCTTTGTAGTTGTTTACAATTGTAATGTTTTTCATCAACACAATTTAGCAAGCTGGCTTCTCCAACCATGCCCAGCAGATAGATGGAGAAATTCCATCATATGAACTCATGTTAAACATGCAACAGAAAAGACCCTAACCCTCAATCCTTACATCACAGATGCTGGTTTTTGAAGCTGTATCTGAGGACTGTGCTTGACTGAGGACTGTGCTTGACTGAGGACTGTGCTTGACTGAGGAGATCTAAATGTAACATTACAGAAGACAATGTGTATTTCAGTTGTTTAAAGGTCAACATCTCAATAAGAAAAGAACCATCAATATTAAGCAAATGGACAAAGCAAAGCAACCATGCCAAGATTAAGAAGACTGAAACATAATATGAAATATTATCACTATATACAACAAAAACTTTGCTACCAAAAATATGATCTCACAACCTTGGAAGCCATCTTGTCCCTCTTCAGCACAGAACTAGTGTACTACATGTAGTAGGCTACTAGACATGATGTGATTTAAGCTGTTTATTAAGACATAGACATGATACAACAAAAACCTGATAACACAAACCTCACAGGACCAGAGATTTTGTTTGTGTCAAATAGAGTTCATGTTTTTGTGCTTGGTACTGAAAAGAAAAGAAAAGAAGGTAAAGGCAACTCCTTACTACTTTCTACTGTTGTGGGTGGTTGGCACGTGCACTGGTATTGCTTGCCCTTTCTTTCCTGTCAAACATCTATCTTCCTTATTTCTCTTCCTTTTCTTTGTATGTCACTCTCTAGAAGCACCTCAAATCTTTGGCAATTATAATATATCGTAAGACCTATTTGTGTTATAAAGTGCCGTAAAACTCTGACAAAAACTAAACTAAAGAAACCGTGTCTATCCAGACTCACAGGGTGGCTTGTTGCTCTGGGGCAGTGAGAAGATTTGATCCCAGCTTCAATCTCTGAAGTAGGCCTACCTAAGTGACTGGAGGACGCCACGGTTAGGGCCTACTTCTTTTCTTTCCCTCTATTGTTTCTGTCTGTCTTGCTTCTTCCGTGCACTATAAATAAACGATTAAATGGCCGCTATTGTATCGATACGCTTCCCTCTACTCAACCTCAAACTTACTTTCTGACAGACAGTGAGTCAGCCACAGGGCGCAGAAAGCAGGCTTGTAGTAGTCACATTTCAGGACTCGATCTGGAACTTTTCACACATGGAAGCAACTTGATCATGTGAGGCAGTAGCAACCTCTTGTCATGACAGACACAGAGAAAACCTGACTAATGGAAATGTCATGTGGATACCATGTAAATTAGATTCAAAGCGCAACACGTTTTTTTAAAGTTCTCATTAAATGTGTGTGATTTTACGCCCCCATCGACATAAGCGCAACATGCAGTACCGAAAAAGCCCACGAAAATGTTGCACAATAAGTTAAGGACAAGGGTTCTGGCATACAGGAAATGAGTCATCTCACCCAAACATACCAGTGAAAATGTGCTGCTCACAAATCAAACTCAGTCGGTCTTTGAACCACAATCAACAACACACTTCATCAAAGGTCCAATATGTTCTTCAAAACCTGGGG